GAGCAAGCTAAGTAGATATACTAGTAACCTCGGTGATGAACACTAGAAGGCAACTGTAAGGGTTTTGAGGTATTTACAAAAAACCCAAAACCTTGGACTGCACTATGGAAGATATCCAGCTGTACTTGAAAGGTATAGCGACACTAATTGGATATCCGATAATAAGGACTCAAAGTCCACAAGTGGATATGTTTTCACTTTGGGAGGTGCAGTCGTGTCATGGAAATCCTCGAAATAAACGATAATAGCTAGATCCACGATGGAATATGAGCTAATAGCCTTGGATAAGTGCACTGAAGAAGCTGAATGGCTACGCCATTTTCTCGAGGATATCCCCAATTGGGAAAAGCCTGTACCTCCAATATGCATACATTGCGATTGTCAAGCGGGAATTGGAAGGGTACAGAGCAACATGTACAATGGTTAGTCTAGACACGTTCGTCGTAGACATAACACCATTAAACAACTCCTCACAACAGGTGTTATCACTGTTGACTATGTGAAGTCAAAGGATAACATAGCGGATCCGTTAACCAAGGCATTGGATAGGGAATTGTTGGAGAAGTTGTCACGAGGAATGGGACTAAAGCCCGTGAATTGAAAAGTTCTATAATGGATATCTGACCTAGTTGGTCCTAGGTTTAAAAGGGAAAAGTAAATTATAGAGCGAATGATGGTCACTGTGGGGGTCCCGGACTCCTACCCACTCCTCGTTGAAACAGTGACTCCCGCACATGGTTAGCAAATATGTTTGCTTTAATGATTCTGAAATGTTGATCTACTTGATGACATTGGAAGAGTATGTGGGATACTCGTGAAAGAATCACCTATGTGAGAGAGAAGAGGACCTCTTCAAAGGAGAGTTGTATAGGCTCAGTTCTTTAGAAATCTTGCAGAACCTGGACGGTGACCCATGGCCAAAACGGGCACACCCATAAGAACGAAACAAAGTTGGAAGGTTCCTTTGTAAAGATAGGTCAATGTTTGCACGACAGCCAATAAATAAACATGTCTTTACAATGGAAGGTTCAAAGGATAAAACCTACCTCTCCATATGCAGGGATCATCCGGTGAACACAATGTGTCGTCCTATCTTCGTGTCTTTTTTAAGTCTCGAAAATCAATTTTCTTTCATGTGGGGGATTGTTGGAAAAATGTTTGAACGTAGCCCAGATTCAACAGTCGAATAATCTAATAATAATAGAAAGAATTTAAACCACTACTAGAATAATACCTATTTGTTGCGGTCGTTTTTGCCTATTTGATGCAGTTAGTATCCGCAGCAATTGGCAGCGCAGCAAATAGTAGGAAAAAGTATTTGCTGCGGTTCAAGATCAGTGAAAATTAAAAACATTTGGGAGTGTGAAAACTAGACATGAAGTGATCAGTGAAAGTTCAGTGGCGTGGGTTGTGGGCCACTGTAGTCAATATCAGTTGCCTCAGAAGGAGATGGTGATAAATGATGAGGTTCCTCGTGAAATTTGATTAAACACATTTCTGTTGGGAGACAAATGAGTGGTCTAGGGTAGGGTTGTGCATGCACTGTTGGACAAGATGCAGCGACATCTACCCGGGATCTGAGTAAATTTAGTCTTGTCCGTACCTATGAGGAATTGTCCGGAGTATTTAAGTGACTAGGATTGATTATTCAATTTGTACCACAATTGAGGTAGGAGACGTCTTAGAATATTGTTTTCTCATTCATTTTAGAATCCTGCTTCCTCACTCTCATAATGTTCACTCGCTCACTTACTATCGGCTTTGTCTCTTGGGTAGGCTCAGTTGGATTTACTAAGCCATTGAGACTTATCTCTCATTGATCTCTTTGATTTGAATCCAACTTTCTTTCGAGTATACCTCTTCCTCAGAAATTACAGCCATTATGCATGTACTGCACTTATAAAATAGATATTAGAAAATAAGGGTCTTGGGCTCAAAGGTAATTGGGTTAACTGGGTCGGCTTGGGTGTTTGGGCTCGTTTAAGAAATTTATTGGAATGATTTTTTGGGTATGGATGTTGGTTGAGATCTCAGGACCTAGAGTTGAGCTAAGTGATATCGGGTAAGGTTTTCACGGTTGGCTTCAGGTGATAATTCGGGTCTAATGTTGGGATTAGATGTCAGGAGCTGAGATCTCGGTAGGTAATAGCTCGGGTGAGAGGGAAGTCGGGTAGAGGATTTTGAGGCTAAGGGACTTCGGGCGTGAGATCTTGGTCATAAGGAATTCGGGTCTTTTAGGCTTAAAAGATCTCGTTTGAGTAGATTTCAAGAAAGGATATTTCGGTCATTAGAAACCTTGGTCAAGGGAAATCGGGTTAAGGGATATCGAGATCTGTATTTCAGCTAAAGAAATATCAGGTGTCTGACTTAGTGATTTCGAACCTCAGATCTCTTTGTATTCTTCTCTCTGTGCTCCCCCTCAACTGGAGCACTCGATATGCCTTGTCATCTGTTTGTCATCGGGAGGAGAAAACAGAAAACTCCCCCTCAAAATATGCATCCTTGTGAGAATCCTTGCATTGTACTTTGTGTGGCGCCAGGAGGAAATAATGATGTTCCTCCTCAGAATGTGCAAGTGGTGTTGTTTGTCACATAGCGAATAAGATCGAAACTCCCCCTTGGAATGTGCTTTCTTCGTTGTACGGAACCAGAAGGAGTAAATAAGAAACACTCCCCCTCAGAATATGCACTTGGCGTGTGTTGGTATTCAAGTGTGCATTTGTTGATATTCAGCTTAGTAGAGAGTATACACGCCAGTACTCTCCTTATAATGTGCACACTTGCTCCCCCTAAAGAATGATTTGCCTTGAATAGGTGCATTGAGAGCTTTTGTTGAACTTGTTTGGAAGCTCAGAAAGATATCTTCATCGCTCCCCTTGACGTATGATACGTCCTATGTTTGTGCATGGGTTCTGAATTGAGGTGTTTAGAAGCTTTTCGGTGCTATCGGGTTCTGAACTGATGTATCCAGAAACTCTGTTGTAGAGCGGGTTCTGAGCTCATTTACTCAGAAACAATGATATGTAACAGGTTCTGAGCTGAGTTACTTAGAATCCAATTTGTAGAGCGGGTTTTGAGCTGATTTACTCAGAAGCCAAAGGGTTGTTGCTTAGCAGCTCAATTTCCCATCATGTGTGTGGAGCAAACATATCAGGTACCACACATGAGGGACACCTGCAAAAGAATTAAGAAACCTTTGGTACCCATTTAAGGATGGGTCCATTCTTTCTAGCATAAAACATATTTTGAAATTTGTGTTTTATTTTTGTTCCTAAACGAGTCTCTTTTGAAGATTTTGGAGAGTTATATGACTGTAATTCTAATTTAGGAATCCATTTATGAAAAAATAAAAATTTCAGCGCAGGTGAATGATGGGATATGATTTTGAGAAGTGAAGATTTTCTCTCTTAAAAGATGTTTCAAATGTTTAACTGAATAAACTTTGAGGGGATATTTCAGTTGAACATCGCCACAAACATCATAGGTAGAAGTTTTAAATCTTTTCTGTTTAGATTTACCATCACTCACACCACAAAGATGACTTGAAGTATTAGACTGCCTGGTTACATTAACAGAAGCACTAGAATGAGTTTTCACATGATTAGAACCATCGGTAGAAGACCTAGAAGACTTGTATGTGAAAGAACTCGGTGACTGACTTTCAGAACTAGAATGAATATCCTTGAAATTACTACAATACTTAGTAAATAGATATTTTGATTTTTCAGAAAACTATTTAAGTCTTGTTGCAGTCTCCTTTTGAATTTGTTTGAAAATTCAGGCCATCTTCTTCTCTTGGCGTTTATTAAGAACATTACCTTTCGGTTTTTCAAAATTAGAGTGAGAGGATGAGCCGTTTTCTTTAGAAGCATGTTGGGAAGGAGGTTTTGAAAAATTGTTTTTATGAACATGAGAGAAGGTAGAGTCCCTTTTTCTTGAAAATGATTTTTCTTTGTGTTCTTTTTGAAAAGGGAATTATCAGAATTTTTCGAGTCTTGAGAGGATTGATTAGTTCATTCACAGATTTTCTTTAAAAGATCTTCCTTTTCAAATTTAAATTTCTCACGTTCTTCTTCAAAAGAAGAATGAAGATCTGCAATTTTCTTAACAAGAGGAGGGATACATGGTTCGGCTATCTCAGATGTAGAGACTTTCTCCTCATTAGACACAGTTTGATTTTCAGGAGGGAAGAGGGCAATGTAGTCATCAGACAAAGGAATTTGTCTAGTAACATAGCTGTTGTTAAGAGCAGTATAATCAAATTCAATTTCGACTTTTGCTCTATTTTTCCTTTTGTCCTCTTCATCCTTATTAATTTCAAAAGCATTTGTGAAGTGCATTAAATTATATAACCCTAACTTCATGTATCTAATATCATAGAATTAAGTGCAATCAACCTTTTTCAGGTTTTCAGGGTTACGAAAGCCAAGTCCTTCCCCGAGGTTGTAAAATTCATTGTCCTTTGATTTATTATTTAGCAGAAAAACAGTTTGTTCTGATTGACCTCTCTTGGGCTCTTAGCAAAAATATCCTCTAACTCCTTAATTTTCGAGTAAAGACGACCATGTTCCTTGTTAAGAATTTCAAAACGGGTAACAGCTTCAGAACGTTTTTGTTTGTTTTCATCTCGTTCCTTAGTTAAGTCACAAACAATTTACTCAAGCTTGGCTACTTTAGATTCTAAAGTAATGACCTCATCACGTGAGTCTTTTAAGCGCATAGTTTGAAATGCTCATTCTTTCATTAGTTGTTCCAGAACATTTTGATTATTAACATAATAACATGTCTATCTTCAAATTCTTTTATTTTATTGAATAAGAAGTACTTATTTAGAACTTGTCATATAAAACGCAGTTATCTTCCAAAAATCATTTGACAACCTTCCCGGTTGAATTTTTTGTTCAAATTTGGTATGGTGAACTAGACTTGATGAAGAAACACACAAAATTTCAGCAAAAAATACCATCAAGAACCACCTAGAATTGAGGTGGCCAGACGAGCTCCTGTCCGGCCCGGTCAGACATGAACTTTAGCAATACATTATATATATATATATATATACACACACACATACACACACACATAAGAGATCAAATAAAAACATGCTTAAAATACTAACCTACAAACTCAATAATAAGCAACACTTTAAACTTTAATATACAACACAAATAATATGCCACACTTTGAATTTCAATATGCAATAAAAATAATGTAAAGATCACAGTTTGAGACAATTTGTAGGTTAGCGTGAGAGGACTAGTTTATATGCGATCGACTCGTGGAGATTGAAATTTTTAGTATGTCGGTAATGATTCCCTTAATCTCCTGTGTGGGTATTCATTCGGGTGGTTGTGTTGCCAAACATCTCTTTCATGGGAGTGTTGCTCTCACTTCTTTCCTGTCTGCTCCGAAAGACTGTTCATATTATGGAGTAATTAACTTTATAATTAATACAGGCAACAATAAAGGCAAGTGTACACAATATTTTGGCTACATTTTCGTGTGGCATGCATTTACGAGATACTGAAACGTTAGTTTCATTCAATAAATGCATGCAACACAAGAATGTGCCAAAAAATGTAGCAATTAATTGTACGGGGCATATTTTAGCAATGAGTAGCACAATGATTCAAGCTAAAATATGCTAAAGTAAATAAAAGTAGAAAAACAAGAGTAAAAGATCTGCAGGTGGATATGAACAAATTTATAGAACATCTGTTTTTACAAATTTATCATTAGGGATGTTTTTACTTGGACTGGTTTCAATCTCTGACTAGATCATAACAGACCAGACCTAAATAGACCAGACCAGGCTTTAACAGTTGTAAAATACATATAGAACATACATCTACCAGATCAGACTTAAAAATTACAATCCAAGTAAAACATCCAAGTCTACAATTCATTGAAAATATAGCAGCCAAACTCTTTGATAAGCGATGCCAGCTCACATATCTAGCAAGGATTGGTGAAGGAAAATGTCTTATGAGATCTTAAAACTAGCATGTGCAATTGTGTTGTCGCACCATGTACTCCCTTTGTGCCACAAAGCTTGGACAAATTTGAGTAACACATGGCATGGCCTGTTGAATAAGAAAGTAATCATCGTGTGTTTGAAGTTTACGGTGGCAGTATTATGCAGATAATTTCGCATGTCATCAACGTGATGCACAAGGATGTTATGAAAAGGGTAACATGGTGACACTATGTAGCCAATTCATCATTTCAGTGCTGGAGCAAATTCCCCAGGTCACCTCATCGTAGAGGTTGTTGAACTTCACATAGCGTGTACTACGCAACATCCACACATACAAGGGGCGGAATCACATACCTGGCCCAATTTTTAGGGCTTGATCCTAAGATTTTCACAAAGAACATTATTAACAATTATGGTATGTTGTGTTTGCCCTTGTCGTCATTTCAGAGTCATAAAGCAGAGAAGAGCCGCGTCAAACTGCCAAAAAAAAATCTTTTCACCACTGCTTCTCACGACACAGATCATTGCTACTCAATAACAGGTAGCCTCTCTGCATGCCACTGCTAGCCGCCAGTAAGCCTCATGGGCAACTGTGCGATATTTTGATGTGCGATATTTTGATGTTTTATCGATTTAACATTTTTATGGGGAAATAAATTTAAATACCCCAAACTTTAATGGGATGTGAGGTGTGTACCCCAAACTTGCATATGTAATATATATACCTCGAACTTTATATAAAAAGTAATTTTTGCATCATGATTATATGTTTTTTACAAATACAAATTTATTGGAATAATTATATAATTTAATATACCTTAAGCCTCGTTACAAATTATTTTCCCCATCAAATCTTTAAGTAGTGTAAAACACCCAATTTATCCAGTAACTACTGCTTGTGTGGGCTGTTCAATTGTTTTTAGTTTTTCTATTCCTTTTTTTATTACTTTCCTTGCTCGCCAATCTGAACAGCCCAAGTCCATAACTCCATACACGCAATCGCCGGATTCTTCCCTAACTCTACTCATCGGATTCTTCCCTAACTCTACTTGCCGGATTCTTCCCCGACAGAAACCACCTCTTGTTTCAGTGACGAAGGGGAAACAGAGTTATAATTTGCAGGCTTGTAGCCAGAAGCCCAAAACAGTCTTCTCCCCCAACAGTAGTTGTTTCTGTTTCCAGTTTTGCAGTTTCGCAGCTTCAGGGCCGTGACTTTCATATAAATTTCAGACTACAAGATAAATCATATTTTCCCATACCTGACGACGCCTTTAGCAGCAGTACCGGTGGAAGATGAAAACATTGGGAGGAAGACGATGGTGATCTCCCCACCTACGGCACAAGTTTGGCACTGCTGACTCAACGTCCATCAAACCCGTCCCAGTGCCTTGTTGGCCCTCTGTCACCATCTGATATCTCACAGCAAACTTCTCCCATCATAAAATGTTAAGTTGCAGGTCTTCTTCGATCCTCAACCCCACTCTTCTTGAATCACTAAAATGGCCGCTCAGTATGTTATTTTACCACAATTTTCCGAAATGGCTTATTTGATAGTTTTCCCTATTTTTTTATCTGAATTTTTATCAGTTCATTTTCCTTTTCCCATTCCGCCTCTAATCCCCCTTTCCTCTTAGAACAAAATAAGAGGTAAGAGTGTTAAGAACCAGCTCAAATATACCATTAAATCTCTGAAAGTATCAAACAAACAATCTGCAACTTTATTGATTAAGAACAGGTAACATGAAACTATGGCTGAAGCCCCCAAAAGCCGAAGCTCCCAAAGAAAGAGATTATTAGTCTCAGTCTTCCCAAGTCCCAAGACAAAGAGTCCAAAACCACCCCTTGCTAACTCCCCTTACATGTCTATTTACCAGCATACTACATAAGCCCTTATTACTATTATTATTATTCTTCTTTCTATTATTACTCTAATAGGTAGGTCCCTATCAATACTCCCTCCCTAAACATCCACCTTGCCCTCAAGGTGGGCGGTAGGAGACAGCCAAGATCTTCTGCTTCTTCTTTTTTCCTTGCTCCTCTTCCTTCCCAGTACATAACTGTTGATGTACTGTTGCTGGACCAGAAGCTTTGGTATTTGTTCCTTCAAAATCACTGCAATTTCATTTGTTGCAGGAGCTTCCAAGCATTCACTAGCTGCAATCGTTTCCTTGTTTTCTCCTTCAAGGATTCTCACTTCTGAAGCTATCAATGTGCTGGATGCATATTTGATGTAGTTCAAGTTACTCAACTCATTGTCTGCAACAAGCCCTATGTAATTCTCTCCGTTTACAATCCACTCTGTCAGACAGTTAGTATCAATGATAGAATCATTTGTAGTCGTAGGATTTGTCTCATACAACTTCAACAACCCACATAAGTTGTGCACTACAATGCTACCATGCGATGTCAGATTCTCATATAAGAGAGCCCAAAACTCTTGCATCCATAGAACGAACTTCAGGAAACACAACAAATTCCTTTATTATCATCCCAGGATTGACCTCTGAATGAGTGAAAATTGATTCTTCAATTGCACTAGTTTGTGGCTCATTATTCGCCAATCGCATTGCTAAGGCATCCCAGAATAATTCAAAGCCTTCACCCACCAGATTTTGGTCTTGACTTTGAGTATAAGCAGCACACTTCTCCCTCCATGGAATTGATAAGTATTCTGTTTCAGCTCGAGCAAACACTCCTGTCCTTTTTGACTTATTTGCGTTAGTGACTTCCTCCTCCAGTTCTTTCAATTCTGACAACTTCAACTCAGTGTTTCTTGCCAATGATGAAGAGCCTGCTTCAGTTCCTCCTGTTACAGAATATTGCTCATTCTTTTTCTCTTCCGGTAATTCCTTGATTATTAATTCCGAGGACTTCAATTGGGTTTTCTTGGTCGACTTGTGATAATCTAGCTCAGGTTGAGAAACGTTTAACAAAAGCACTGGCGAACATGAATATTCCTCTCTTGATCGTGTTGCCCTGTTATGTGAATTCATCGCGATTAGGAACGCCTGCGGATTGAAATATGTTGTTGTTCGCAGCTTGCTAGGCGATGATTCCTGCGGACTGAATGAAGAAGTTCCCGATTGCGAACTAAGAAAATCCTTGCGCGACTCTGTTTGCGATCTTGGGAGCGGTGGTGACGAGCTTACTTCGTCATTTATCGGAGAGCGACGATAAGAGTGATGCGATGAACCTTGTTTGTCAGGTAGCGGAAAAGACCTAGTTTTCTTCGATCGTTCTCCGGTTCTTCGGCGACACCTCTGCTCTTCCAACTCCTCTGACTCCTCTGAGTCAGTCGAAAGTCGCGTATGTCGATGATGAGATTTGCGATGCGTATGAGAGTAGTCAAATTTTTCTTCCGATTCCTCTGGATTGGATGACCTTCGCGACTGATGATGCGAAGTACGACGAGCGATGGGAAGAGTTATGGTGGGATGAGCGATGCGAAGATCAGTGCGAATGGTGCGATGTATGTCGCGAACGACTTTGAAGTCGGTTCTGCAAATCTGCGACGCTAGCTTGCATCGCCTCTTGCATAGCGGCCATCATCGTTTTCATCTTTTCTTGCGACGCGACCATACTCGCTTGTGTCTCCCTCATAATTCGGTCAATATTATCAAAACTCTTTTCCATTTGCGGTGTCATGTAGAAATCCTCCTCCATGATTCAGATTTTTTTTTGTCTCCAGGATGTAACAGCTCTGATACCAATGTTAAGAACCAGCTCAAATATACCGTTAAATCTCTGAAAGTATCAAACAAACAATCTGCAACTTTATTGATTAAGAACAGGTAACAGGAAACTATGGCCGAAGCCCCCAAAAGCCGAAGCTCCCAAAGAAAGAGATTATTAGTCTCAGTCTTCCCAAGTCCCAAGACAAAGAGTCCAAAACCACCCCTTGCTAACTCCCCTTACATGTCTATTTATACCAGCATACTACATAAGCCCTTATTACTATTATTATTATTATTATTCTTTCTATTATTACTCTAATAGGTAGGTCCCTATCAAAGAGACTTGAAATCAATGCATACCTCAGTTCCTAACCCTTTCGTATATACATTGGTGAAGAGCTCAGAAGGATCTGGCATGGGGCTCTCCTGCAAAGATAAAATGATCACTTAGTGTTGTTACGCTAAACTATCATGTCTAACCAACAAATAGAACTGCAATTTTAAATTGTGCTTCACCTTTGCCTTTGTTATGGCTTCATCTACCTCTTTCCTCACTTCCTTCTCAATATCCTGGTGGAGAATCGCGAAAGTTGAAAATTAAAACTAAAGAATGCTACATCACATGAAGCGTGCTAAGAATAAAAAACCCAATTGCAAAAATATCTTACAGGGGTTCACGTTTATAAAGTTATCATCGTTACCTTCAGCTCCTTTTCCGTTGCTAAATCATGAGCTAATATTAACTTTCTGACTCTTTCTATTGGATCACGCTCCTGAAAAGTAGAAACATGTCCAAAATAAAGATGACCAAAGCAACAGTCTTTATAGGTAGAAATGTTTTAGTATGTCCTAAGACTCAATTTACCTGTCTGACTCCGCTGATCTCATCACGTGTGCGATAGGTGCTTCCAGGATCAGACATGGAGTGCCCATGGTACCTATAGGTGTCCATTTCAAGAATCTGATCAAAGTTAATCGATGTGCGTTAAAATGTGTAAAAGCCCAAAGCAATGTAGACAAGGTATCAAATTATTATCAATATGTATCAGGAACTATAACTTAAAGAGCCAATCACATTACAATTCCCATTTCATTATATATTTCAAATTGGAAATAACCTGTCTACTGCTGGCTCATAGAGATCACAACCATTTGATTAAGTAAAGATAGAGTGAAGTTTTTAAAAAATACTTCTAGCTAAAAGAGATGTTCACAGTCATAACTCCTAAATTCAGGATTACTTGTAGACAAACAATAACTAAAAGAGTTCAGAAATTATGGTTTACATAGCAGTTACCTAGTTAGTATGGCAATTGATACTCCATCGAAATTACTTTGTTTCCTATTATTTAGAGCTTATTGCGCCCATCTTGTTGCTCAGTGGAATAGAGGCCTTTGTAGAACAACTTATTTATAAACAAGGATCAACATATAACTTTTTTAGATATATGACTTTTCTTCTTATCTACCCATAAAATCCTGCTTATGTTTTAGTATGTGAGCTGTCAACTACTTTTTGGAAAAGATAAGCCCTGGAAAGAGCTGTGCTTAACACACACTTAATCACAATCACACTCATCACTATTTAGGTTAATGTATTACAATGATTTGATTTTTGTAGCTAAACCCCACTAACAGCTGGTCTAAACAAGCACTCAAATTATGATCCCATTCAAACATACTATCCATTAACCCAGATCAGATTGATAATTAAAAAAACTTAAGATTCAATGGCTACAATATTCTCATTATCATGGTTAAAAACTAGTAAAACCAAATAGAACCTTTATTCAGTATCAGCATATCCCTTTGTACTGCTAATGTAAATGGTAGTTGTTGCTGGATTGTCATCATCCTCATCAGCACCTTATTCTTAACTACGTCGGGTCAGTGACATGAAATCTATAACATAAATTAATTGTTGCTAAATGATAGACTCCACAAAAGCAGAAAATTAGTAGAATTGATGAAGATTGCAGAACTCTTAGGAGAAGTACAGGGGCGGAAAAACAAAAAGTAGCGAGAAGAATATAGATTGAGACACTTCGAGCAGCCCCCCTCTCCCAAGCCTATTTCCAATCCCAATTTCTGCCTCTACCTTTCTTCTTCCTCACGCCTCTTCTATTTATATTCCTTAGTACTTACTAACCGATCCTCAACTGTTGTTTATATTACTCTTACTCTTATTGTTGTTGTTGTTATTATTATTAGCCTAATTAACATGGGTCCCTATCATCACTCCCCCTTTGACAAACACCTTGTCCTCAAGGTAAAACAGCCCTGACCATCTGCTTCATCCTTGCGCCTCTCCCTTCCCAATATCTCAGTGATTGCTGAACCATGATCTTCATTACTTGAACCAGCAACTTTCTAGTAGCTTTGCTACCATTAACAATTTCTGGTTTTAAAGATATAAATTCATGAGGCGCTCCATCGTGAAGACATCAATTACAGCAGCCAGACTAGTATAGTCCAGATCCACACTGATTCTACCCAAAGGGTATTCTGAAAAAAATCCAAACACCTCATCATGATTCTTAAAATGATAAAAGCACCAGGCTCCTTATTGCATGAATTTTTCTTTCATCAGTGCTACCAAAAACAAACTCATCAGCCCATCTCAGTCCAGAATCAGAGGAGTCCCAAATTGCAGAAAGTACCTTATTGCATCCCTTTACTGCCATCCCAGATTTGACATCTGAGTGAATAAAAACTGATCCTTAAATAGCCATCTGAAACAGGTAGTCAAAACCTACACCTCCCTCTTGAACAGCTATACAAACTACTGGCACCCCTCTAACATCTTCACCAACTATAATGGCATCTGAGAAGAGACCATGAATGAGATCATTGGCACGCATCAGACACACCACATCAGCGTCAGCATCAGTAGCATATCCAACATATTCCTTATAACTCTCAGTAAATCCTACACCCAACCCATTTTAAATATACTTCATAGAAGTAACGCCATCAAATCTAAAGCCATCAAACTTGTTCAGCCCTTCCAAAATATTGTTTGATGACTGATGGTGCACAATTTCCATTAGAACACCCAATCCAAGTTCCTGAACTCTGCCAATCAACGATTCAAAATCTTCTTGGTTTCAGTCTAGTGCACTAACATACCTCTGAGCATCATAGGTAAGGATACGTGGGTGAGAACGGTCCTCTTTATCACCTCCTGTGACATTGTTGATCAGTTCCAAGGCAACATCAGGGTGCTCTGTACGATTCCTTTCCTGATGACCAGGAATGTCAACTTCGCCCACTTCCACTCAGTGTTCATTGCCAGTGGTGGAGTTCCCGTCGATCTCTTTCCTGATTCGACTAGGTTTATGGCTCTTAAAACAGATGATTCCTGTAGGAGCGTTGAAGCTAGCGCACTGCGAGAAACGGCTTGCGATGCCATCTGCGAACCGATAGAAGTCACTCGCGACTGCGGACTGGGAAAATGGTTCGCGATTGGAAACTGGGAGAAACGACGAATGACACTGCTTCCAGAATCCAACAACATTTCACGGTCCGCAATCTCCCTCGCGAACGACGGTGTTCCTGAAGCAGCATCCAGTTCCGCATCTCTTCCACGACATTTTGCCCCTCCTGCACGCTTATCTCCACAGCCTCCACGCGATTTTCCATTCTCGCTCGCGTCCAAGTCATCCACAGCTCTCCGGTCATCGGCTCTGATACCAAGGATAGAGACTCCGCAAAAGCAGCAGAAAATTAGTAGTATTGATGAAGATTTCAGAACTCTTAGGCGAAGTACACGGAGTAAAACAGAAAGTAGCAAGAAGAATAAAGGTTGAGACACTTTGAGAGTCTCACTCTCCCAAACCTATTTCCAGTCCCAAATTCTGCCTACCTTTCTTATTCCTCACTCCTCTTCTATTTATACTATTCTTTACTAACCGACCCTCAACTCTTATTTATACTACTCTTATTATATTTATTAGCCTAATTAACCAGGGTTCCTATTACTAAATCATCAATTAAAACCCAATTACTTTGTATATATATATTCACATTCATATTTATGCACAAAAACCTTCAATCTTCTTATGCCTAAGAGGCTAAGAGACAAAACCCAACCAGTGCTAGTGAGGCTGTATGCATGTATCTCTTTATACACTCCCCTATCCAATTCCTCCCTAAATAATAACCATAAACCTGATATTGCATTTCTACTTGGGCAAGACTAATGCTGACAAACTAAATAAAGGGTAAAGGAAAGTCCACTGATTAAATAAGGTATTTAAATCTGCCACACCAAATAATACAAACAACAACAACAACATCCAAGCCTTAGTCCCAAAAGATATTGGGGTCGGCTAACATGAATCGATACATGATATCACCACCAAAAGGAAAAGAAAGAAAATAAAGATAAAAAAGATAAACTATTATAAAAATATAATATAAAAAGAGATGAATATACATAAAAATGATAAAATAAAAGGATACAAATAATGTTTATATATACAAGGATAAAAAACAAGGGGAAAAAAAGATGAGGGGAAAAGATGATACGAGATCACTCCTCCACACGAATACCCGCCCTCCACTTTGCTCTCTCCAAAGTCATACCCTCATCCAACCCAAGAAGAAGCATATCACTTCGGACTCCCCTAACCCACGTCTGTTTGGGCCTTCCTCTCCCTCTCTTCCCTGCCTCTTCTCCACGCATCTTAACTCGTCTGATAGGTGCATCACTCGGTCTTCTACGCACATGACCTAACCACCGTAGGCGCGACTCCCGCATCTTGTCTTCAATAGGTGCTACTCCCACCCTTTATCTGATTGTCTCATTCCTCACGCGGTCCTTCCTAGTATGCCCACACATCCAACGCAGCATGCGCATCTCTGACACACTCATCTTTTGAATGTGACATTGTTTCACCGCCCAACACTCTACGACATACAGTAATGCAGGTCTAATTGTTGTCCTATAAAATTTACCCTTCACCGCCCAACACTCTATGACATACAGTAATTGCATACCTCGATCGCATAGAAATCCTGATGCACTCTGTCACACCAAATAATAATACTAATAAAAATGCACTTCTATATTAACGGAAGAGTATAGGTGGTTAATAAAGACAAGTAATGAAGCAACATTTTATCATGTTGAAGACCATATCAGCTTTTTTCATGTCAATGTTAGATCCTGGTATTACAGACTCCAATTACAGTAGATTCAAAGAGAGATTAACAAAGAACAAGATCAAAATGAGATTTATTGAAGAAGAAGAAAATAGCGAACGTATACAAGCCTAGGACGATTTGAGATGCCCAGTCTCCAAAGTCTAAGTCCAACCAAATGACAGTCTCCTTATTTTCCTCCCCTCCTCTTCTATTTATACTATTAAATGTACACTTACTATTATTATTATTATTATTTCTATTAATAGCTTACTAAGCTAGATTCCTATCATTACTCCCCCCCTAAACAACCACCTTGTCCTCAAGGTGGGTGATAGGAATCAGTCTTGACTATCAATTTTATCTTCATCCGAGTGCCTCTCCCTTCCCAGTACAACATTGCATTCTGTATCTTTAGCTTCAACACTCGAGCCATCCTCTTTACCTCCACCCTTGCATGAATGAGCCGAGGCAATGACACTGTTGGGTCCTGCTCCCCTGCTTTGTCACTCAGGAAGACATCCATAAACCTAATGATAAAAACAATCCCAACCTCCTGTTTGGATTGCCAACGAAGAGAGCTACAGGTACAGATTACTTGTTGAATAGCTTCACAATGACTATTCAGTACATCCCTCAATGTTCGGATAGCTGTGATTCCCTTCACAGTTTCTTGTTTTAAAAATAGATCCACGAGGTACCCTATCTGGGAGACATCAATCACAACCGCTTGAATTGTAGGATCCAGTTCCACATTGATTCCACCCGAATGATATTCAAAATCACTCTCATCAACCCCTCTCAGTCCATGATCTGAGGAGCCCCATATGAGAAGCTTGCCAATCCTGTTTTCTGATAGAACGCTTTCTTGCATAATTGAAACATCAGTTGAAGAGCATAATGACTGCTGCATTGACACTGTCAGTTGACCAATTTCATTATTAACCGAGTCCTTGGCATAAAATACCAAATTGCAACCTTTAACATCAATAACCGAAAATTGGTCAATTTCAAAACCAGGTTTCAAGCTATACTTCCTTAACCCAGCAAGATGACTATGATTGTATAAATGTCCAGGAAGAATCATTCTTTTCAAAAAAATTGGAGCCTCATGAGTAACTAGATCGATGGTTCCAGAAATAACCTTTCCCGGTTTAACCAATTCCATTTCGGACAACCTTATCGGTCTTGTTGTACTGCAGTTCATTCGACTTGCTGTAGGGATAGAACTGACCTCTCTGCACTTAACAACTTGCTCATCATGATACCTTGAGTTTATTTCAGAGCTAGGATCTACTCCAAACTCAGACCGTGGACCCAAACCTTGCCCCCCATTGTAGATTCGAACAAAGCAACCCTGCTTTTCAATCTTCATCCCTCCCTGTGCGATTCCCCTAGCAATTTCAGCAGCCTTTCTGGCATCAATAGTGGTTTCCGAGCAAGCATAAACTGCTGCAGATTCTCTCTTCATGAGGTTTCCATTCTGAAAGTGGACTCCTGTCAACCAACACCTTACAATTTTCAAAGTAGCAACCTAACTGTTGGTTTGGAATTTCCAGAACCTCAACAACTTTATCCCCAGAACCTATACACGTCTCATGATCTGCATATTTCTTCAGAATGTTCCCCTCATCTATTTTCTCAATTTCCTCATCAATTGACTTTAATTCAATATTCGTTATCGAATGTGTAGTCTCCAACAATCTAATTCCAGGATCAGTAATGTATATGGATCTAGAAGAAGAAGAAATTTTCGCAGGGGAATGAACCTCTTGGGACAAAACTTGCGCAGCTGGCGACACGACTTGCGAAGAAGAAAATTCTTCTCTCGGTAGCATCGCATTCTGACGCGAGTGGATAGCCGATGGGAATGCCTGCGGCGTGAAATGCGAACTGAGAATGTGAGTTTGCGATTGTGAGCTGGTAATTGGGGTTCGCGACTCCAATCTTGTTTCACTTGAAGAAGAAGTTTGCGAGTGAGATTGCGAAGACTTCTGCGAACGTATGAGGAATTCCGATGATGGACGGTAAGAACAAACAGTATTTCTTGGCGAAGATTCTTGCGAACTGGAATGATACGTGAGTGTCGAACTGTGCGACCTATGAGAAGTTGTACGCGAAGGGGCCGGTGAACTACGGACATCTGTTCGCGGCTGAGAATAGCCCTGCGCAAGCGATGAGGTCTGCGAATTAAGCAAAACTGTTCGTGATCTTCTTCTTGCCTGTAAATGTTCTTCCATAGCAGCTAGCTTTCTCGCGAGGTTATCCAGCTTTAACTTCACCTCTTGCTGATTCCGCACCAGCGAATCCATGCGCTGATCCATTTTACCTCTAACTCTAACCATCCACCTTCGAATGAAAAAAAAATCTGGATTCAGATACTTCTCCGATCAATCCTGAAGTCGCCAGGAGCTTAATGCTCTGATACCAATGTTAGATTCTGGTATTACAGACTCCAATTACAGTAGATTCAAAGAGAGATTAACAGAGAACAAGATCAAAATGAGATTTATTGAAGAAGAAGAAGAAAATAGCGAACGTATACAAGCCTAGGACGATTCGAGATGCCCAGTCTCCAAAGTCTAAGTCCAACCAAATGCCCCTTCTATTTATACTATTACATGTACACTTACTATTATTATTATTATTATTATTTCTATTAATAGCCTACTAAGCTAGATTCCTATCAGTCAGTCTACCCTGTTATCCATGACAATGTCACTACCAATGAACATTATCATAAGAATGGTATAATATCTACATGAAGTTTTGCCTTTGTACAATAAATTCTCATAGACCAAGGAACAAAATGTAGTCAGAACTCACTATTGGTCCATTCTTCAGAGCATAGTCCTTGGCAAATTTGCATGCCTGTTTAACAGCAAGGACATCCATACCGTCCACCTGTTGCATGAAGCAATTGTTCAGATACACATAATCATTCAGGAGAGTAAATATCACTGATATATTAGCAGAGACCTCTATACAATATTACAATCCTTGATTTGGAAAATCATGGAGGCGCAGGGTATAGCAATACTCTAATAGTTTACAATCCTGTTATTCACACACTCAAATCCCTATAAATGTTAAAAGAATGTGTTAATGTATTCCGTTAAGAACAGTGTCTTTACGGGGACAAAAGCATTTGAGTTGGAACACTTGCTCATAAATATGGAATAAAAACTAAAATGAAGTGCAGTTAGGTATTCATAAAGCCATACAATCTTTTTTTATTGGGCTTTAAGAATTATCAAAACTCAACATATTAACAGAGCATTGAAGCAAAACTCTAACACATTGAAAGTTATGTCATTATCATAAACAGATATCAAACTGCTTTCCAAAGTTTAGATAGGTAAGGTACACGCTTTATTTTCAAAATACCTTTAGACCAGGTACATAATCCCCTCTCTTATAGTAGGCAGGACTTTTTGCTGCCCTCCATTCTGCTGTCCCCATTCCATCTGTACAATAACAGGGCCATCAAACAGATGGAAAGTTGCTCCATTAAAACAACTGGATAAAATTATTAGGAATATGACTAGAACAGGTGATGATTCCTAAAATATGACTAAACAGATTTTTTCCTAACTAATGGTGTTTTGCATGTATGGTATGTGTTTTGGTGCTACTTTTTCTCCATTCAGTTATTACTCATATAAGGCATGTTGAAATTTTTTAGTCCTATATTAGAAATCTATAAAAAATTTAGTCACATATAGAAACAATTCCCAAAAAACTACCCAGAACCTACCCCATTCCTTAAGTTAATTATATTACTCCCTCTGTCCCATATTTATCTTCAGAGACCGAAAAGGAAAGTATGAGGATAATTCCGGGACGGAGGGAGTATACAGTTTTACTTTCTGAGTATGATTTTAGAAAATATAGCAGAACACATCAGGAAGAAAGTTGTTCCACCAAACAAGCCATCAAATCTTTCAGGAAGACATTATAACAAGTGAGGTGAGCACCAAGAAATAATGAAAGAGGTCATGGCTATACGAAATGAATGGGGGGTCATGAAGTTGGAAAAAAAGAGGACGTGCATAATTTCTGATAAAGATCATCCCGTTCTTACAGTGATTGTTCTCGCACACCAGGATAGCAGGCAAATCCCAAAGTGCTGCCATGTTCAAAGCTTCAAAGAGTTGACCTTGGTTGGCAGCACCATCTCCGTATAAAGAGAAACTGACATGATCCTCTTTTGAGTACTTCTGAGCAAACGCCAATCCAATACCTAGGGGAACCTGAGCCCCTACTATCCCATGGCCTCCGTAAAATCCATTATTCTTCTTGTAGAAGTGCATAGAGCCCCCTTTGCCCTTAGAACACCCGTCTTTTCGCCCCATGAGCTCCGAAAAAGCTTCGTGTAGCGTCCCCCCGCGGGCAAGGTAGATACAGTGGTCTCGGTATGCTGTGATGATGCAGTCCTTTCTGGTAATTGCGGACTCCATGCCGACGGCAACCGCTTCCTGGCCGTCGTACAGGTGACAGAAGCCTCGAATGAGCTTAGCCTTGTAGAGCGAATCGGACGCGATCTCCATTCTACGCATCAGTGCCATTTCTCGGAAGAAGTCCAACAGCTCCTTGTGGGTCGTCTCAACGGAGCGCGATGGAGGATCTATTCTGTGGGCGCTGAAGGGGAGGTTGGTCTCTACTGTGATGACCGCAGCGGAGTCGGTAGATATGTGGCGGATAAAGGAGACAGCCGCTGACAGCGGCTTCAGGAGAGCCGCACTTTGCCGCGCCGGTAAAGCCATTTCCAACGATTTGATTAGAATCTGGCGACTTTCTGACCCGAGAGCTAACGAATCGTCTTACTCAAGATTCAAGAAGGGAGGTTTAGCGATTGCTCCCTGAAGAGCAAAAGTAGTTTTAAGAATCAGATACAAACACCCCTTAGACTTTCGGTACAGCGGAAGTAGACACGTGCTTAGCGCAGTGTTTATTAAGCGCAGAAGCTTTTTCAATTTCTCCATTTCCCAAAAAAAAATCAAAAATGTAAAAAACTTATAGATAAAATTGTACAAAGTACAGGAATGTAAAAAAATTAAAATAATCAAAAAATAAATGTAAAATAACAAGTTTTGTAACGTTACTTCCTCCGTCCCAGAAAATTCTTCCCACTTTGACTTGACACGGAGATTAAGAAAGTGGAATAAAGTGGAAATGTGTGGTTGTAGTTATGTAAGAAAAAAGTGAAATGAATGTGAACCACATAAATTGTCCAAAAATGATAAGTAGAAAGAATTTTTTGGAACGACCCAAAAAGGAAAGTGGGAAGAATTTAATGGGACGGATGGAGTATTTTTTAAAAGCATTATGTACTCCATAATTTACAAAATAAAATGTTGAAAAAATAATGAATAAAGCAATATATATATATATATATATATATATATAATCATAAAAAAGTAAAAAAAAAACAAACTTTCTCAAAAAATGAAAAAACGTAAATTAAACTTTAAAAATTGGAATCTTAAACTATGAATAAAATAAAAAAAATAAAATATTAAAAAACGTGAAAATAGTTTTAAGGACATTAGAGCGAGTCAAAGTTTTAAAATAAAAGGTAGATAAAATGATAAAAATTAAAATAATTATATAAAAGTGTAAAAACCGAGAAAATAAAAAAGTTTAAATTCAAATTTATATAATAAAAATACAATACTTAATTTTTCTAGTAAAATACATAAAATAAAATTATAAAAAATCAAAAAGTTAATGTAACTTTAAAGTGTGTAAAATTAAAATAAACTCATAGAATAAAAATATGATAAATTAAAATGATGAAGTTGAAAAATAATTACATGTCCAAAAAATTAAAAAATACGAATTTTCTAATGTACTTTTTCTTAAAGTGTTTAAAATTTTAATTATTACTATTATCACTTTATTGTTAGTTTTGTTTCTTATGATTTCTTTCTATTTGTTGATAATTCTGAAATTTTTGCTTTTTATTGTTTTGTTATGTTTCAAATTGCTTTTCATATTCATTAATCGAAATTTAACATTTTAGGTGTTTGTATCTAAATGATTTTGACTAAACCTACATAGATATTTCTATTTTAATGATGTAGAAAAATAAATAGAAATATAGTTAAACAACAAAAAACAGAACCAACAATATTCAATCATAAGAAACGTAGTGTAACAAAGACTAACAATATGCAACAAAAGGCAACACAATGCAACAAAATGTCATACATGTACTACAACAAAAAGCAACATAAAATAATACTACGTACATAAGAGTATCACAATAAATATTCAATTCAATCTATTATTCCAATTTACTACATTTATCTATAGATAATTTGTAAAAATGAAGGATTTTTTTAAAAAGTAAATAATACTACGTATTACATATGAATTTTGCGATTTGTTATTATTTTAGCTACAAAAATTAATTGTTATTTATAAATTTACAAAAAATCACAAGAGGATATTATTATTATATTTGTTTTTGTTGCCTATTGTTTCTATTAGGGATGGCAATGGGGCGGTTCGCCCCGTTTCATAATATTTTTCCCTGAAATCACCCCGTTACCCATTGGGTATTTTTTATCCGCGGGTAACGGTTTTCCCCGCGGGTAACCGTTTTATCAAAAGATAAAAAAAATTCTTCAAAATTAGTATAAATTCTAAAATGATGATTAACTACTTATAATTACTAGCAACCCCGGTGATGAATGCTCGAAGGCAATAGTAAGGGTTTTGAGGTATTTACGTAAAACCCAAAACTTTGGACTGCACTATGGAAGATATCCAGGTGTACTTGAAGGGTATAGCGACGCTAGTTGGATATCCGACATTAAGGACTCAAAGTCCACAAGTGGATATGTTTTCACTTTGGGTGGTGCAGCTGTGTCATGGAAACCCTCAAAACAAACGTTGATATCTAGATCCACGATGGAGTCTGAGCTAATAGCCTTGGATAAGTGCACTGAAGAGGCTGAATGGCTACGCCATTTTCTTGAGGATATTCCAAGTTGGGAAAAGCATGTCCCTCCAATATGCATACATTGCGATTGTCAAGCGGCAATTGAAAGGGTACAGAGCAATATGTACAATGGTAAGTCTAAACACGTTCGTCGTAGACATAACACCATTAAACAACTCCTCACAACGGGTGTTGTCACTGTTGACTACGTGAAGTCAAAGGATAACATAGCGGATCCGCTAACCAAGACATTGGATAGAAAATTGTTGGAGAAGTTGTCACGAGGAATGGGACTAAAGCCCGTGAATTGAAAAGTTCTATAGTGGATACCCAACCTAGTTGGTCCTAGGTTCAAAAGGGACAACTAAATTATAGAGCGAAGGATGGTCACTGTGGGGGTCCCGGACTCCTACCCACTCCTCGTTAAAACAGTGACTCCCGCATGAGGTTAACAAAAATGTTTGCTTTAATGATTCTAAAATGTTGATCTACTCGATAACATTGGAAGAGTATGCGGGATACTCGTGAAAGAATCACATATGTGAGTGAGAAGAGGGTCGCTTCAAAGGAGAACTGTAAAGGCTCGGTTCTTTAGAAACTCTTGCAGAACCAGGACGGTGACCCATGGCCAAAATGGGCACACCCATGAGAACGGAACAAAGTTGGAAGGTTCTTGTGTAAAGATAAGTCAATGTTTACACGACGACAGTATAGTTGAAGGACATCAAGTCTACTAGATAGCCTGTAAATAAACGTGTCTTTACAGCGGAAGGTTCAAAGGATAAAACCTACCTCTCCGTATGCAAGGATCATCCGGTGAACACAACGTATCCTCCTATCTTCGTGTCTTTTTAAGTCTCGAAAATCAATTTTCATTCATGTGGGGTATTGTTGGAAAAATGTGTTAAAAATTGCATTAAATGGTCATTTTGGGGCAATTATTTGAGTGGGGTCCACTTCCGATTTGGGTCGGGTCAAAGTGGTTTCGGATTGTCCTTGTTAAGGGCTACAATTCAATATATGGTACACTCAAAATGGATAACGGGTCCTCTGCTGGCTTCGCATCAGAGTTGCTCCAACTCTGATGGGGGTATTCTGGTCGCGCACCAGAACTGCTCCAAGCCGTTACAGCAATTAAATGCTCAACGTTCTTGTCTTTTAATGCAGCGTTAAATGGACAGTTTTTGGACGATTCAATGACCAACGGATTGGTCATTAATGTCTAACATTCAGGTCCATTAACACCCCATTTAACACACACAAAATCCTCCTATAAATAGTTGGCAGGTGCTTTGCAACAACAATGCAATCATACACTATTAATTTTTATTAAGGAAAAATTGACAAGAATAATCCCACCTTTCACTGATCTTCTCATAATAATCCTACCTTTACCTAATCCCAAAATAATCCCACCTTTGCACCCTATCTTCTTTCATTGGACCCTGACCAAGTTTTTTACCTTTCTTTGAAAATCTTATATAAATAATCTCACATTTATAAAGATATAATAGAAAAGTGAAAGGTGAGATTATTTATATGATTTTCAAAAAAAGAGTAAAAAATATGGTCAGGGTCCAATGAAAGAAGATGGGGTGCAAAGGTGGGATTATTCTGGGATTACCTAAAGGTGGGATTATTATGAGAAGACCAGCGAAAGGTGAGATTATTTTTGTCAATTTTTTTTTATTAATTAATATTTCTTCGTTTTTCCGAGACACACCCAACAGAACTACCCTACCTTTCTTTTAATGCGAGACACTCCAAATATGTTATCTATATATAGTTTGTAAATGACAAACGTGTAGCTCAACTATTAGCATTACTTGCAGAAGCATAACATGAGAACAAAACACCATTCTAGGCTGTCAATGAACTCTATATCAGAAGTTAGAAGTTTTAATAGCATCGAGTAACCGACTATAACAATTTAAACATTTCCTTGTAAAACAAAGAAAAAAGGAACCAAAACCGATTCAAAGCAAACTTAAATACTTATATACAATGTTGTCCTAGAGAAAAATTACATACGCTAGACAATTCAAATTACATAAATAGCTTGTCAATTTCTTCATATGAAATTGACATGAAAGGTTCGTTACCCTGTACCTTTTATCTTTGAACCTCCAAACTGAGATTGGTGTTTTTTTAACAATCAAACACCGAAGACTTCAAACATGAAGAAAAATGTATACAATGTCATATTCCTAGCCATTTTTAGAAACGTAAAAGCCATGTCAGACCATAAATGGATCTGCAAGAGTAGGAGCAGCTTAATCAACGATTAAAATTATGTTTTGTCGTGATGGGTGTGAGTAGGAGCAGCTAAAGAACAATCACAATAAATGTATCTAAATAAGATTTGGTTGAGCATAATAATCATATAAATTAGATCACAAAAAGGAGAAGGAAGATGATTCAGGTATATGAGGACCAATCAGTCCAAATTAGAACAACTGATTCATCTATTTTTACCAAATTAACAAACATTTTTGATAACTTACTTTGCCTGTGAGGAATCACCTCCTATTGATCTTCTTTTAAACATGTAAAAGTCGCCAATTCTCTTGTCAAAGATGTAGGCGGAGCCGCAGAGGTCCAACCGGAGAGAAAACCTGCCATAGTTGTCGGAAACTTGACATAGAGTTTTGAACAGGAAAGGACACGGTGGGACGAGCGGAGGTTAGACGCCGGTGTCGGAGGAATATCGAGGAGATGAACTTTGTTTAGCGGAGAAAAATTGAGAGTGTTGCAACCTTGCAGGTGTAGGTCTGGAAGGGTTCACCGTTTAAATGACTTAAGTCTAATTTTGAAATAAAAAAAGATCAAAAGATTAAAGATGAAAAGGTGAAAGTCTAGAGATGAAAAAATAATTATAGGGTGACATAAACGAAATGCGGATGATAAAGGTAGACTGCATGGGTAATTTCCACAATATTAAAAGTCTAACTATTTGTTCCCAATTAA